TTTCCCCGTGGAGAAATTTTTCTTCTAGCTATTGTTTATTACTTGTGAGCATATAGGTATCATTATGGCGAAATTTGGAAGCTATTCGATCACAAACAAAGAAACTAAGAAGCTTTGAAAATTGGCCCACCTTCTTAGTTTTTAAGCTTATGTCGAAACAATTCAAATTTCATAGTTATGCCGAAAAAGTTTATAATCTTGCACAACATTATAACCCATAATTTTGATTTAGGAATGGATCTACTTCAAGTATTTTAAGAAAAAGTGACACTTACTTGGCCGGTTGCGGGGGTCAGCGCCGATTCATTGTTGCACTTGTACACAAATACTTGTAATACTAACAGCAACACACAATGAAATGGCAGGTTTAGCTCATAATTAGGAAGGGGAAGGTTGACTGAAGCAACCTCTAGCAGGATTAGAAAAACCATGCTGTTTCAGCGGCAATGCAAGCGTTTGAATTTGGTGGTGGCAATTGCCACCGCCAGGGCCGAAAGGGTTAAACCAACGCGATAGCTGGGATGCGGAGGGCTTTTGATAATGGCTCAAGGTCATTAAAATCGCTCTGGCTTCCACCGTGTTCCGTGCCTTCAACATCCATTCTGCCTACACTAGGTTTAGCATTTGTTCCTAAGCAATGAGGCGCTTCAAAAAATTCGCTCTTCAGCGGTTCTCACGGTAGGTTCCTCCGCTGCACAACACCGTAAATCTTCGGCCGAATCGAAAAGAGGAGCGGTGTATCTGATGAAGAATTCCCGCTCAAAAAGTGATGTTAACCCATTCGTGACAATGGCAGCCACCGGTGGCTGCCGTGTTTCAAATGGAATTTGGAAAGTTTTCTTTCCTGAAAAGAATCTTCATACCCTCATTCATCTACGCCAGCCCTGGGCAGGGAAATCTCCATCCACTCAAATTTTATTGAAGAAAAATCTCCTGACTCTCCTGCTATTGCGCAATCCCGCGCGGTCGCGCTGGGTTAAAATGAAGGAAGTATTTCGAAAAAGAGAATAGAAAACTGGTAGAGTCTAAGCTTTGAATAATTTCTGGACTCACAATACAGGATCCATTAGAGGCATAAGGTCGGTCAGCGAATTGCCAAAGCGGATAGCCAATTTCATGATCGACAGGGAACACGTTCCTCTCCTTAACTATAGGAAAAATATTAGGCCGATGTCAGACTTTGCGAATCGCGCGATTCGCTAGCGTCTGCGGTCGCGTCGCGGCCAGTGAATCACTCAATTGGCTGGTACCGCAACGCGACCGCGGACGCTAGCGAATCGCGCGATTCGCAAAGTCTGACATCGGCCTTATACTAATTTCAAATGCTACGCTTTCAAAACTGCATGAAGCCAGCGATTCTGAGAGCAAAAATTCAACTTGACTACTTACACTCTGGCCCAACGTCCACCTCGTAGACATTCCAAAAATTGGTAGAATCATTCACCATTAATAGATTATTATCCTCCCAACTGGGACAGTAATAATTGATCTAAAATTGATTTATTAATGATATATTTTTATAGGAGAATGATATTCGCATTGCCTTTTGTCCTGTGCCGTCCTTGACAACAACTTCATTGGTGGCAGTACCATCATCGTGTAGGACAGCAACATGAATAGATGTCTCGTCCCAAGGCTGAAAAAGAACACTCTTCCTGCCTGGTCTCAGTTCCAGTAAAAAACGGCGCTAGCTCAAGAATGATCTCATTGAACGGAAGTGATGGATTCTTTCTAATCCTACCATGTTCACGTGATTCCACTGCATCCAAACCAATCTTTTGCCGTCCGGTGATACACGAGGAGACGCGTAGAAATCGGCGCCGCTCGCCTAAGGATGGAATAACTTTTACAAGACAACTGCAGGAAAAAGTAATTCTCATACATTTTCATCAACTCGAAGGCACAAAGGAGTTAATTTTAGCTGTGCAGCACATTCAGAAGGCAATCAGATAGAGGATTCAATACCCACAAACAGAAGCCTATAGAAAAGGCACTGTCCCTAACATAAGAGTGCCCACGGCATCTCGCAAGGAAAGGATCCCAAACCGCCATGGCCATTTAAGAAGGAAGAAGGGATGTATATGCCTAGATGTGATTCCAAACGCTAACCCCTAGTCTACCTTCCACATCTGCTAAACGATTGACTAACCGGAGCTATGAAGTAAAACAGCGTAACAGTAGTAGTCGGAATTCAGTCGTAGGATCAATTCCCGTCGTGTTTACTGCTTTCCTTTTCCAAAAATAAACGTGAAACAGCTTTCAACAGCCTATTCATCTGTATTCCCGAAGAAAAGCAAAGCAGCAAAGAGTGAGGGGTCGATCCTACGACGCCTTGACTGTGAGTCACGACCGCTGCCGTTGCGCTGTTTTGATTCATAATTCCGTTCAGAGAATCGTTTAGCACGTTTGGAAGGCAGATTTCAAGATCAGCGTCCGAAGGCACATCTATGCAAATACATATCTTCTTGGATGGCCATGGCACTTTAGGATCACTCCTTGTAAGATCATTTCATTCTACAATGAGAAGTTGCGCCCACGCCACTCGCGCTTTTGGTTCAGATTAGCAAATCATTCCCGAATCTGTCTGCGGAATAATTACACTTTACTGGATTCAAATCGAATGCCGAAGTGAGGATTGAAGGGAAAACTCCATTCTATTAGAATCCTTCATAGTAGCCTTCTACAACGTCATCAGAAGATCTTCCCACGAAACATGGTGCACGGGTCGAGCTCAATGGGGTCTTCGACGGATCGTGAACCATTAGGACGTTCTTCGAAACTTTGGTTGGGAGGCGGTTTGCATATTCAGAGCTACTTTCTCTAAGGAGCTATCCATCAGTCAAATGATCACCAGTTAAACGATTAGAGAGATCATGTTAGTCGATTAGCATTTTCAGGCTGGAGCGATTACAGTAGGCCTCCTTGAGCTCGATAGCTATAAGAGATGACGTCATATTCTGAGGATGTGAGGGCATTGAAGAAGGACCCGCTTCTGCTTAGATATTTGAAGAATATCTTGCCCAACTCCATAAAAACTCCATCAATAGCGGCACCCTGCGCGAGGAAAAGTTTGACAATGTGTGCTAGGCAGAGCGACTCCTTTTTTGCCTCCCCCACCACCTGTATCTTTATCTTATACTTTCGTTGGACTTGAGTTTAAGGGTAAATCCAGTAAGATTACTGTGCACCGAGCACTTCATCATTTTTCATACAAAACTACGAATCACACTGAGCCTCAGAATGAAAGGACTTGCTGGAAACCGCACCAGTGAATTCTGAAATCGAAACCAAGAAATATATATTCCTACTCTCCTTAGAATTTCAAGTGGCCGCGCAAATACGGTACCGTTAGAAATTT